GTGGACACTTACCCTGTGGACCTGTTGATGAATGTGTTCTTTATAATCCTCACTCCCATGTTAAATCCTATCATTTACACAGTTAGAAACACAGAGGTGAAAAATGCCATGAGGAGTTTGTTGAAGAGGAGAGTAACTTAGGCTGTTCATGATGCCAAGAATGTGATGATTTATATACACAGGGAGAATTATATCTGTTGCAAATTTGAAGGAAAACTAAAATATTTTGCAGATCATTGAAAGAAGAAAAGGATTCATAAACTAACATTTTTGATAATTTAATATTGGCTAGGCATTTACTAGGCATTTTGGTAAGATACTTTACTATGGCTTCAACGTTTGTGATCATAACCAGAATAGGCAATGGAGAGAATGACTATAGACCCTTAGTTGGTGATTGTAAAGTATATTTTTCTTCAGATTATTACCACTACTTTACTAAATCCTTCATATATGTTACTTGGATGAAATTGGTTTTTCATTGGACCTTGATATCAGACATTCTTCTGTGTTTGCTTAGCCTGTTGCAAAGCAAATAAGGCATAGAAATTTGTTGAATGATGGAATCACAGCTGAATTTTTTTTCTGTGCTATTAATTTACCAAAAGCAAAAGGAAAGGCACCACTAAATGAGGAAATATAATTCACAAACTATCCCTAATTCTTTTCTTTCTAAAACACAAGCCAGAAAATTTGAGATTACTCTTAAGATGGACTTATTTTCTTAAATACCCTTGTGGCTCACAGTTTTTCTTTAATATAAAGGACATGCTTTATTTTTACATACCAAGACTTGAGTAGCCATTTGAAACATGAGTAAACATTCTTTTATCAAATTTAAACAAAGAAGTCTATGATTAATTTCCAAAGCTAGTGAACTATGAATCTGATACACATTGGTTCCAACTCTTTGAAGTTATGAATAAAACTGCTACAAATATTTTCATATAGTTATTGAAAAAAGAAGTAAAGAAAGCAGAAATATATGAAATAATTATTTTCAAGACACTAGATGTCAGAACCAATTGACAGTGATCACTAAGAGGTGGGAAACAAGTTGGGCTCTAGGATTTTCCAGTTTATTACCTTTAAAAGTTCCCTTGTTGTGACACAGAGAAGAATACCTTAGAAGGTTCTGGTATGTTGCTTGAGTTGAGATGAAGTTGCGGTTCTGTGGAGACCAAGCAGCTAGAATTCTGAGGATGGAATATCATAGAGCATAGACCTAGAGACCTGTGTCAGTGGTGGGAAAGAGAGACAGCCAGACAGACACTGAGAGAGAGAATGCTGGAGAGCTAGAGAGAACCCCTCTCAGCTCATCACAAAAGTACTGATTGGTGCAAACATTTGAGAAAACTACCTGAGGCTGGGAAAGATCTGCCCAGATAGATGAGAGAGAAGGGTGCTTGCTCCTCACATTGGGTCAGGAAAAGTGCCTATTCTTACCAGCTGGAAAACCTTGTAGTTCATGAGGGTCAATGCTTAGGAAGATTTTGCATAAATAGAGATATACTAATTAGCCCTGGACTGAACACTTCTCAAGACCTGTTTCAAAAACAAATTAGGAAGAATTAAAAAAAATCCAAAAAGAAAACATCCAAAAGAATCAAACTAAATATTATGTTCAGAATTTTGTGTCTTTGTGAATGTAAGGTATTAATCTATTTTCTTTGTGCTCCCCAGGTTTCATTCTGGTATAAGGGTTATGCTGGGTGCATAGAATGTGTTAGGAAGTATATTAATTCTTCCCAGGAGTGAAAAGTACTTATGTAAGACTGGTACTGCTTGTTGATTAGTTGTTACATAGTATTCATTGATTAAAGCTACATGAGAATGAAATTTTGGTTTTCAATGGCAGGATTCTAAAGAATTCATTTACTTGGGTATTAAATTATTCTAGCTTTTAATTATTTTTTTCCTAGTGTGCTTAGAAAGTTGTATTTTTCATAGCAGTTGTCCATTTTCTTTAGTTGGCAGATATACTATACTAAATCATGTAACATATTATTTTATTATCTTTTCAAAATATGTAGAGTCTGAAGTAACAACTGTCTCTTCATTGTGGATTCTAATAATTTGTTTTTTGTCTTCTTTTTTCTTAATCAGTTTTGCTAGAATCTTATCCAGTTTATTAACTCTGAAAGAACTCATTAAATACTTTCTTTATTTTGAATTTGTTTCTATTTCAATGACTTGTCTTCCATTTGCTATTTCCTTTCTGCAGTGTTCTCTGGGTTTATTTCAATTTTTTTTTCTCCTGTGTACAGAAGTGCTTTCTGCTGTTTATTAAGGTCAATGCTGGCGCAGCCCACCTGTGTGACTCTTTTTTTTTAAATTTTTTATTGATTTATAATCATTTTACAATGTTGTATCAAATTCCAGTATAGAGCACTATTTTTCAGTTATACATGAACATATATATATATTCATTGTCACCTTTTTTCTCCATGAGCTACCATAAGATCTTGTGTATATTTCCCTGTGCTATACAGTATCATCTTATTTATCTATTCTACAATTTTGAAATCTCAGTCTATCCCTTCCCACCTTCCACCCCCTGGGTTTATTTTAATTTTTTTTCTAGCTTCATGAAACAGAAACTTAGTTCATTCTTTATAATATTTTCTGTTTCCTAATACTTGCATTTAAGTTATAAATCTCTCTAAGCACTCCTTTAACTGCATCCAGTTGACTGATAAATAAAATATGTACTATATTAAATATGGCTTTTATACATATATATTTCATACGTACCTTTCATACATCTTTTACATTCATTTGTATCATTATCTTTGTATTGAAAATGTACCTTTTAAAATGTTCACAGTTAATTTAGGTTTATGTTGCTTAATTTATAATTAATTAGAAAATGTTATGTTTTGTTATCAATTTCTAGTTGATTACATTATTATAAAATATATATATATATATATATATCTATAAATATTTGTGCTCTATAATTTAAGTCCTTTGAAATGTACTGCAATTATGTCATGGCCTAGTGTACTGTCTACTTTGGTGAGAGCCCCATGAGGTATTTGAGGTGAACAGAATAGTCCCACAAATGCCTTCTTTCCCTGTTTCCACACTAACACAGATTCTATCAACTCGCCTGTCTGAAATATGTGACAAAGTATGTGACAAACTTTATCTGCATCTGAAACAGAATTCAAGTGACTTATTCTGAAATTAGCATTCATAATGTTTTGGAAATTAGTTCAGAAATCATCTTCAGAGACAAAGATTAAAATTAACAGACTTGCCTATTTTGAAGGCCATGGTTTAAACAAGAACGTTTTTACGTATTTCATTTCTGCCCATCCTGAGCTTTTCCCTTTGATGACATGACCTCAAGTTGTTTTTTAATACTTTTCCCCCAGAGGATATGGTTCTACAAGTTTTGTTTTACACTGCGATTATCCTGTAGGCATCTCCAGAGATAAAGTGTCACCATCAAAATATGATTAAGGTCCCATTGAATTTAATTAGACAAGGATCACCCACATAGATGCACCAACTTAAAGACTTTATAACATGTACAGCATTTCAAATGTAGATAAAGTGTCTACAGACCTTTACCCTTACCTCACAGGACAGACTTTCATGAACTGAAATGATGGACTCAAAATATAATAAAGTTTGTATATGAAATTATTCTCCATCTCAGGAAACTCAAAGCTCAACAACCCTGGATGAAGGCAGGAGAGTGTAACTGATTGAGAATCAAAATATTGGAAAGACTATTTCACTATTTCACTCTCACTTGTATAAAAGACAAAAAGCAACATTTGTATATAAGCAATTCATACACATTTACAGTTTCCTCTCCAGTCAAAATGTTGAATTGAAATTTGTTAGTGATTGGAACAATTCCTACAAACAATCAATATTTTGGTCTCTGTTCACAATCAAGATTTGGAGTTCTTTAGTAACAGACCATTCATATTCACTTTGAAAATGCCAGCTTTTTGAATAGGAATATTTTTCTGAATGGCTGAGATGAAATAGATTTCCTGCAAACATGGAATGTGTTGGTCACATGGAAACAGTTCAAAGTCCAGTGATGTTGCATGTGTCTTGTTCTCTTTGTCCTCCGAGATGGCATCAGTGAGTGAAGAGCAAGGGAGAAGACAGGAGGGTCCAGAACATGGACTGAATAGCAGTCTTCTTATGCAGGTAACCCAGGAAGGGTATTTATATGTAAAATTCTGAACTGGGCTTATAATTTGCAAAAGAAGTACTTTGGTGGTGTGAGAATTCAGTCTTTTGAAAGTTCTCCTTTGTGATTTTCATAATCAGCCATGTTAGGAATCCTTTGTGATTATTAAAATATATGAAGATTGATTTTATTCTGTCATGCTCTTTTGGATATTTTCATATTACAATGATCTGAAATAAATTTACTTTCTCTAACAGAAAGTATTCTTAGAAAAACTAATTTCAGCTGTAACTAATGGGGTATATTTATGGACAGATAATTCTAAATCTGATGATACTCCCAATTAATATGTTCTCTAAACATTGTTTGTTGATCTGTTAAAAATTAAAAGATTATGTAGCATGTGTAGGATTTGAGTTGCTTTCAAGAAACCAAGATAATATGGTAGAAAGCAAACCTTATTTTAATTCTCACTTTATGTCCACAGGGGAACTTCAGTGTACTATCATATGTTTCTTGGCCATTTAGATCTATTTTTCCTTTAATTGTTTGTATATATTCTAATTTTTAAAAATATTTTATTTTTTGTTAATTGCTTAGATATCTTTGTCTATTTTAGATATTAACTCTGAGAATTCTCTAAAATGTAAATCTTTCTCCAAACTACTTTTGTCTTTTTACATTGTGGTATTTTTTCCTATATCCTTTAAATTTTTTTGCAATTGTTAAATACATCTATTTTGGATTTCAATAATTAGTTAAGAATACTATTCCATCCTAGAGTAGAGAGAATTACTCCTTAATAAGTGTCAAGTAAAATAAAATAAGCCTTGCTTTAATTTTTTATTAGCAATTAATCCAATATTATTTTTGTATAAAGTATTAGCTATACATGCAATTTTACTATTTTCCAGTTGGAAAGCTAGTTGTGGCAAATCATTTATTTAATAAGGTGTTCTTTTCCCATGTATGTCTCTTAATTACTTGCCTCTCCATTAATCTGAAAAATCTTTGAGATTAGGGATGGGTTTTTAATCAAACTTCTTATGATAATCTCTAAAAGTATTGGAACATAAAAAAAATGCTACTGATTTGTTGAAAGAATAAATAAATTATCTTAAGACTTCAGGAAGTCACTACTAAAAATTTTATTTACAGAGAATTTTGTCCTGAACTCTGAAATAGGACGTACAAAAGACTCTATGGACCAAAGGAGGAATGTGACTGAGTTTGTCCTCTTGGGGCTCACTCAGAGCCCCCAGGGTCAGAAAATATTATTTGTTGTGTTCTTGCTCATCTACATTGTGACAATGGTGGACAACCTACTCATTGCTGTGACTGTGGTGGTCAGCTCAACCCTGGATTCCCCTATGTACTTCTTTCTTGGCTATTTATCATTTATGGATGCTCTTTATTCTACTACAATCACCCCAAATATGATTATACACTTACTCAGTGAGAAGAAAACCATTTCATTTCAAGCCTGCATGATCCAGCTTTTTACATGGCACTTTTTTGGTGGTGCTGAGGTTTGCCTCCTGGTGGTCATGGCTTATGACCGCTACGTGGCCATCTGTAAACCTTTGCATTATTCCACAATCATGAATCAGCGAGCATGTGTTCTGCTACTGCTATTGGCCTGTGTTGGTGGGTTTTTACATGCTGTAGTTCAACTTTTCTTTGTTTACAACCTTCCCTTCTGTGGTCCCAATGTCATTGACCACTTCGTCTGTGACATGCACCCTTTGTTAAAACTTGCCTGCACCGACACCTACATTATTGGCCTCACTGTGGTGGCCAATGATGGAGCAATGTGTGTGGTCATCTTTATGCTCTTACTCATCTCCTATGGGGTCATCCTGCACTCCCTGAAGAATCTGAGTCAGGAAGGGAGGCGCAAAGCCTTGTCCACCTGTGGCTCCCACATTACTGTGGTGGTCCTCTTCTTTGTCCCCTGTATCTTTATGTATGTGAGACCTCCTTCTACCTTACCCATTGATAAGTCCTTGACTGTGTTTTACACCATTATCACTCCTATGTTGAACCCTCTAATCTATACTCTGAGAAATGGAGAGATGAAACATGCCATGAAAAAGCTCTGGACCAGAAAAAGTACATGAAGCAGCAAGGATATATATATCATCTATTTTCAAAGAAGAATTTTTCTTTCCAAAAAACGTATATGTAATTATTGAACTGCAGTAAACTTCTCCTCAGGTTTAGTAAATTGGATGTGATGAAAAACATTTATTTTGTGAATACTTGCAATGATCAAAATATACTCTTAAATTTGCATAATTTTATAGTTCAATACATATGTATATATTGTTTGAAATACATTTTTAAGATTTCAGTTTCTTAATTTTGGGTGCAAGTGTCTCCATTGAGAACATAGATTTATGTACTATACAATAAGTTAAGCTACATTTAATACTGTAAATTTATTTTAGTTAGTGGAAGATTTTCTCCTGTTACTCTTCAGTAATATAATATAATCTTTCTCATAATTAATAGGACTCATTATAGCTTAAAAAAATAATA